TTAAAACTGTTATGAACTGGGGTTGTAGGGCTTAAACAAGGGGTCAAAAGGACAAACTGGATGAAGAAGAACTCAACTGAAGAAGGTGGGTGACAACTCTGGACTACAGGTACTAGCTGTATCTCTTGAAGATGGTGTGTTCATTCTGTGAAACCAAGAAGAATTGAGGCCAGCCTGAGACTCTCTTCAAATGTTGAGAAGTGGAAAGTTGGAGTAACACTTACCTCCCAGCGACTGGAACTTCTCAGTGAGGGACTGAATGGCCTCTAAAACGGAAAAGCATAAGTGAGTATTCCCACATTTGGAATGCCACTGTCTTGCTCCTTGATGTCCCCAAGGGAACTTATAACCCCCCCCCCCCCGCCAATTGACTCCCTTAGCTAGTGTCAAAGAGCTTTGGGACTGATCCCACCCATCACTAGAATTCAAAATTGAAATTTCTTCCATACGTAAACAATTGAACTAGGATTTCTCAAGGCTTTGGCATGACAGAAATATTCAGTTAAAGGCAAATAAGACATAATAAATACCAGAGAAGGCACTCCAGCCAACACTTATAAAGAAAATAAAGGAGGTATCTCTAAAGGCCATGAGAGAAGAACTCTGGTACTGGTTGCCAGAATCCATGCTGAGTTTTGACAATACACTGCTTTTTGAGGCATGACCCAGCAGTCAAGACACAGAAGGCTGAAGGAAAAGCCTCCTTGGTTTCTTCTCCAAGGGGAATGTTAATCTTTGTAATGCTATCTGGACATGTAGAAAGCCCTGCCCCAAGTACAAAAGCATCCAGGCATCTCTTCTTGCTCCTGCCCCTGTCTCTGCCCTGGGCCCCACCATACCTACTCGTTCCTTGAGATTCTCTATATCTGTATGTAGCGTCAGACACTAGCCCAGTAAGGAAGAAGGAAAAAGAGACAACAGTTAGTGTGCTGGCCTCCTCTCTCTCTTCATCCTCTGCTTTGTCCTGAGCCCTTACACCCCCTCCCATATCCTACAGTTCTGTGCAAGAGAAAGGGTGGTTTCCTTTCTTCAAGGGATATATGATAAGATTAAGCATGTATGTTAATTTAACCTGGACAAGGAGCCCACCATCTCGTTGGGGCTAGCATTCCCAGGGACTAGAGAAGATATTACCCGGGCACAACCAGGTTGTCCAGATGGTTCTTGTGGCCTTTCTGGACCATGGGAATGCATAGGTGGCTCCTGGTAATCTGAAATAGAACACAAAATTCCAGCTTTCTTGGAGGCAGGACTTCCTGAGAGTCTGGCGGACTCTCAAATGAGGTAGCGTCCCCCTCTGCTGGCAGCAACTTGCCTCTGCTGTACCCAGCATCCCCACTGCTTCCTGAGCCTGCTTTTTCTTACCCTGAAATGTCACTCAAGCTATCAACTCAGGCCCTCTAGTACTGTGGCTCTCAACTGGATGCTAGAAAAGGTTCTGATGTGCTGAAAGTCTATTTTTGGATTGTAGTTGAGCACCGTTACTAGTCATCTTTCTGCACACTCCCCACCTAAGAGACAATGTGCTGACCAGCCCTGTCGTCACACCATTGGTCCTGGGGAAATGCTGTCCGGGTAAGGAGGCAATCTTTCTCCTGAGTCCTCTTTCTCCTCCAGAAGGAACAGAAATCGATGTCTCTATCATCCAACCCCTGTCCCCCCCACTTCTCACAAACCCCAAGACTCACCAGTAGTTGCAGGACCTGTGGGTGGGATGCGCTGCTGTCTCTGGGGGAAGGGCTGTGATTTCATTTGAACAGGTGAGTCTCCAGTGTGGTGATAACCACCGCTGATTTCTCCCCCATGTATTGACAAGTTGGGTTGATCTGGCCTGTATTTTGAAAGCTAAAAGGAAAATTTCTGAGTATGCATTTTTAAACAGACAAAAAGGAAAACAGACAACTGTTTCTTTCCCCTTACTTTACCATTCTTTTTGTTTACTGTTTTATTACATAATGTGTATTATGAATGGAGTGTATCATTATAGTACTTCTTAACTCATATACTTCAATCATATCCATGTCCTTATTACTGTCTACTCTCTTATTCCTATTTTCCCACTCTTTTTAAAATCTCTTTTTGCAATTTATTAAATGGTTATCAGTGTGACCTGTTCATTATGGATTCACATACTGGCTATCACATAGTCCCCACCCTCCTGCCCTTCTTTCCCACCTTCCACCAGTTCCCTCAGATTGGCCTCACATTCGTGGTCATGTCCATTTACTTGCTTTATAGCTACCTTCTGCACATCTGAGGAATCATGCAGTATTTGTCTTTTTGAGTCTAGCTTAGCCACTTAATATAATGCAACTCCATCCATTGTGAGAAGCTCACTTAATTAGCACTTTCTGCCTCTGTCAGCCTCACGCCAGGAGGCAGAGCCAACCAAGGAAGTGCACTGAGTATGAAAAATACCAGGACTAGTTCCAGGCAGGCTTACAGAAGATCTGGGAGGGAGCAATCAGGAGGCTGATGAGCTACAAGCTGCGCAGCCCAGACTAAGCAGACTCCAGACTCAGATTCACAGCCAGCCCTGCTTCTATCTCAGCCCCTGTCTGGAAAGGCAGAAAATGAAGAGCCTGGCAAACCCTGACTAGCATCTAGCAAGTGCTCTCATGATATCCCCATACGACAAGGACCCTGGATTGGGCATCCTAATGCCTATGGACCACCAGTAACAATCCCTGAACAAAAAGCAGGGGGAATGTGGGCAGAGATGCGTGCACTGGTGAAGGGAGGTGCATGGTGAGAGGAAGGGGAAGATGGTTTACTCACCTGGGCCTGCAGACCAGGATCTCTATTTGCCTCATCATCTTCTCTAGCCACTGAGCAGGACTTCCTTCTCCTCCAACCCCCATATCTCTTTAGATTGCTGTCTTGCTTGTACTGCTTTGGGCTAAGATGCAGAGAGGAAGGTGCCTTGGGACCCCCAAATGGAGGAACACCTGAGATCGGGAGTAATGCAGCTGCTTCCAGGGGAGGCGTCTTCATTATCTGCCTCCAAGAAGGGGTGTTTCTCCCCAGAGTAACTCTTGAAGGACCCTCTGGGAATTTCCTCTCTTCAGCCACTTTCTTTGTAAGATTGGCCCTGGGCATGTCACCTGTAGCAGGAGTGGCAGCGGCAGCAGCAGCAGCAGCAGCAGCAGCAGCAGGAGCAGCAGCAGCAGCAGCAGCAGCTCCTGGGTATTCCTTGATCACACTTTGTTTTGTCTTACAGGAAGTTTCTTCCAGCCATCTCTGCCTTTCTTTGATTGTCTTTAGTTCCCCGGGAGAAAGGGGTAGAGAATCATCAGGCATATCTTCATTATGGTCATCAGAGCTTCCACTTAGGCCTTCTGATTCCTTGGGGCTCTCAGAATCAGCTGGGCGTCTACGACTCAATGTATGGGGCAGCCTTCTCTGTGGCTTCCTCCGCGGCTTCCTTTGACACTCTTCTGAAGTCTCATTGTCAGAGGAGGACCACTGCATGTTCTGGCTGGCCAATTTGCTAGCTTCTCTGGCTTTCTTTCTCTCCTCCCAAGCTCTGCGAGGCTTGGACTTAATGGGCTGTGGAGCAGTGGCAGAGGCCTGCTGTGATTCCATGAGGCTAGGGACCAGAGTGCTTGTCCCCCTGGGGACGAGTGCACCTCTCCCCCTAGGGGCTGGGGCTGCTTCTCCCCAAGCGGCAGCACAGCTTTCCTGTCTAGGTATTCTGACCTGGCCTCGTGCCACACGGTAGGTCCTGTGATCCTTGAGCGTAGCCTCAACATTGAAGTTGACCACTGAACACAGAGTACCCTTCCTCTTTTTTGCGGAGGAGCCAGCTTCTCCCCTGCCACCCTGAATTTCAGCTGCTCCTGACGAGACTGTTTCTAACTTGGGCTCTGACTCAAACCTGTAGCTTTGAGGCTCAGTGTGGCCTCTGACTATTTGTGGAGGTCCGGAATCACGGGCGAGACCAGGTGCCCTGGGACCTCCTCGGCGGCCCCTATAGACATTGAAGCGATTCCCACCCTCCGCCCCTAAACCGCGTCCCCGGCCAAACATCTCACGCTGAGAGTTCATATCCCAAGCGTCTAGCTGGGGAGACCGTTGGTGTGGTCACCGCGTGACCGGAGTGACGTTCACAGATGCCACGCAGGAGCCACGAACGTCTGCATCCAATAACGCCAGGCTTTCCTGCCTTCGTGGACACTACATGGCCATCCCATTGGCCTGCCTTCTGCCAGCCAAGTCACATTTTGTTGTCATGCCACCCACGGCCCTAGCCAATAGGAATTAGACTAGCTTCTTTGCAGCTAACCCCCCTGGGTTCCCGTGATGGACAGATCGACGAGCCAGTGAGTGAGGGCGGAGCCTGGTGGTCAGAGGGTGTGTCCTCCTTTTCCCTTTTCCAGATTCTTCAGTCCAGGTACCCAGTTTAGAAAGAGAGCCCTACCCCTGAGCCTTGTCTTCCCATGTGTAAAGTTGGACAATACCATCGTTTCACTCAGGGGCTTCTGAGGATTCAGGGTAATGGTGGATGTGGAGGCCCAGCGCAGAAAGGATTTTGTTGGTGGTGGTGGTGGTCGTGGGTCTTGAAATCTGGGCCTGGGTGCTGTCTCTGAGTTCTTCAGCTCAAGACTGAGCACTCTACCAATTGAGCCACAGCGCCACTTCTGGTTTTCTGGTGGTTTTTTTATTGGAGATAAGAGTCTCACAGACTTCCCTGCCTGGGCTGGCTTTGAAGCGCAACCCTCAGATCTCAGCCTCCTGAGTAGCTAGGATTACAGGCGTGAGCCACTGGCGCCTGACAAGAAAGGATTTTTGACATCCCACTGGTAGAAAACACCCTGAACATCAATACACCATCACCATCATACACCTACTGCTACATGAGGTTGATTACTGTAGTAATCAAGTAGTAATTATGAAGCCTGTACACCCCACAAACGATCTTTCTCCCACCCCCCGAAAATGTATAAGGACCAGTGATGACAGACTATGGGCTTCCTCCTTTTCCCTATCAGTTTGGCTGTATTGCTGTGAATCAGGCTTGAGTCCCTTTTCACACAACCCTTGATGACTAGCTTTGTTAGCCCTGCCTTCTCCCTCTGAACACATGGTCTCCCTGTTCATAGTCAAAGGAAACCTGCATGACCATGACACTATTGTTATAGCAATGCACATTAATGGCACTGGTGGGAGCTGAGCCTTTAGTCTGCAAGTGGTAATGGGCAGATTCTATGACTCAGATCAGAGAAGTCCATCTAGACCCTATTGGAAAGGAGTAGGTATATCTTCATTTCTTTCTTTGTCTGCATCCCCTTTTCCCCAAGTGTCCTCTCCAAGCCAGGACAAGTGGGAATTCCTGCAAAGACTCTGATCCTGTCACACCTCTTGCTACTTAGGTCAAAATGAGCTCCGAATGAGGCTGGCTAGTTCATGTTGTCCTAACCTTGATACAGGGATACCGTGAAGCCCCCAGTAAAGTCCTACATGGACCATGTGCCAGGGTTCCCTGGACTACATTTCCCAACAGGATATTTCACCTTGTTGACATAAAACCTGGTCTCCTTTTGAGACTTTTGTTTGAGTGGAAGGAACCATGAGCTAGTCAGCAGCAGTGATTGAGGCCAGCCCTCCTCAGCTTCTCAGTGGTCAGGCATGGTTTTGGCCTCCTTCTGGGGGCTGTTAGGTGAGAACTGCAGTAGTAGATTTTCACGATGAGTCACATCACAGATTTGGGCAACTTTAGACCCATCTGTCCTCAGTCTCCAAGGAATCCTTTCCATATTCACATTTCCTCATTTTCCATTTCTTCTAAGTGGAATGGGATCATTTCTGATTTTTGGCTAGGAATGTCCAGGTATGTTATGGCCACAAGTGTAGGTATAGAGAAAATTCCTGTGAAAAACAGTGGCTAGGCAAAGTGGTGCATGCATGTGATTTCCAGTAATAGGTAAACTACAAGAAGGAGAATTGCAGGCTAAGCTAGCACGTGCATGAAACAAAACCCCCTCCACCACTTAAAATAACCAATGCAGGTCATTCTCAGACTACAGATGACCTGACTTCTCCTACTAAAAATAAATTTCTTCTAAATGAAATTTCTAACCACTTTTCACAAGAAAGTCCTTGTGTGATTCAGCACTAGTAATCACCACTCCAGAGACTCACATGTTACAGGAACATCAGAGTCCTTCTACAAGAGACTGAGGAGCAACATGCCCAGAGTCCCTCCACCTTCTGTTGAGGATTCTAGGCTTGAAGGTAATGGAAAAGGCAGTGCATGGAGGAGAGAGACAACCACTTCTGTCTTCTAGAGGGAAAGGATGGCCGGTCTTGCTTCCAGGCTACCCTGGTACTGCAGTAACAGATTAAAATGAGTGAAGATAGTAGTACTCTCAAGAAGCCGACTCTCATACAAGTAGGATTTTCTCAGTCAGTGGAGAGATTAGTAACAGGTCCAAAACTCCAATCCAGAAGTAGATATTGAGTCTTTTCTGGTATCCAACCACAGTCCTACAAGGACACAGTAGCTAGGGTGGCATTTGGACAAAGGGTGAGATTGCCAGGCACAGCAGGTACAAATTTCTGCCACCCGAGGGAGATAGCGCCTCACTTGAGACTTTGTCAGAATCATCCCTACCCTACATGGCAGCCAGGAACTAGATTTTGGTGATCTCTTTCAGGTGACCGGGAGGCAAATCTGCATTCACCAGATCTGGAAAGGCCACAAGAACCATGTAGAGAACACAGTTGCCCCCGGGTAATGCTTCCTATGGCCTGCAGAAATGCTGACCCCCAGCTAGATGGCGGACCCCATGTGCATGTTAAATGGAAATACATATACCATCTCATTAGGAAACCAGTGGAAAGAGGGAACCTTCTTTCTCTTGAGGATTCTTTGTGAATCTTGCCACAGCGTTGTGGAAAGTGGGGTGAGTAAGGCCCCGGGTAAGAAGGGAAGATGAAGAAAGAGGAGAATAGCAAATTAATAAGTTTTCATTTTCTCTGGTGTCTGCTGGTGCTACAGAATGAAATTTTTTTTAAGTTCAGGGGAAAACTAGCTATGATGGATGATGGGGCAGAGGCAAGATCAGAAACAGAAAGAAACTTGGGGGTCTTGGAGCAGGTACGTGGGGAAGGGCTTTCCATAAATACAGGAGAGTAATACAGTTACCAAAATCTCCTGGGAGGAGAAAGTGAGCAGGCCTGGCCTGGGGTCTCGTGTATGTTGACTGCTGGAACATGTACAAAGAAGAGTGCATTGTCAAAACTTCCTGTGGACCCTGACAATTCCTAAATATCTGAGTTTGACTGACCATTAGAAAACTTCCTATGAAGATCAATATCATGAAAATGGCAATACTTCCCAAGGTTATCTACAAATTCAATGCAATACCTATCAATATTCCAGCCTCATTCTTCAAGGAAATAGAAGCAACAATCCAATAATTCATATGGAACACTAAAAGACCTCAAATAGAAAAACGATCTTTAACAAAAAGAACAGTGCAGAAGGAATAGTAATACCATATTTCAAACTCTACTAGAAAGCCCTAGTAATCAAAACAGCTTGGTACTGGCACAATAACAGACCTGAGGACCAATGGAATAGAACTGAAAACCCAGAAATGAATCCAAAGACCTATAGCCACCTAATTTTCGATAGTGGAGCTAAGAAGTAGAATGGAATAAAGACAACGTCTTCTGTAAATGGTGTTGGCAAAATTGGTTTAGCACTTGTACAAAACTAAACCTAGATCCTTATATATCACCATGCACCAGAATCAAC